ACAGATCCCAACAGGAAGAGACTATCTTGTACTTCCAGACAGGAGGTACAACAACCTTACTACACCATTAGAAAGAAGGCAGATTGTCTTCCTGCCCATCAACAAACCCAGCTGGTGGAAATACAGCTCAGCCAATGAGGAGCCTTACATTACCTAAATGCTCACTTTCCTCCAATGAACTTTCATTTTTTTCTTATGACTGACTTTCCTGTCCCACTCTTTTCTCCACAAAAGCCTTCCACTTTGCACAAATCCTTGGAGTCTCTCTCTGCTTCCTAGATGAAAAGCTGCTCCATTCATGAACAGTTTAATAAAGCCAATTTGATTTTCAAGCTTACTCAGTTGAATTTTTTTTTACTAACCAAAGGGGAAAAACTGCCAAGAAAATAGAGAAAGTCATGGAGGGAAAAGGGATGAGTAAGACGTTTTGGCCCTTGGTTAAATTTTCCATCTTATACTAGCATTCTCCTGTCATAGTCTTATCTGGATAATGCATAACATCTTTGAACCAAACTTACTTAATATAAATCTGTATGAAACACCAAATGGATTGCAGCTCTGCTATTTTACCGCAAACTGCCTCCTTCACGTCTCCTTGACAGGAGGAGTCTTTTAAACAAAGCTGTTAGTGGTACCTGCATCCTGTTCACACCAACTTGCAGGAGTTTGTCATGCACCTCATTTCTGGGAATGTCTCATTTCCAACTTTTCCTTTTTGTTAGCCTCATTTCTCTTTTTATTTTATTTTGACTTACTACATGGCATGCATCTTTGTGAGAAGACAATTTAAACCTAAGAGAGGGCAAAGTTCCTGTTTTTTTCCCCTATTTTTTTTTTCTGGACACATTTGGACACATTATGTGAAGGATCTAGTTATGAAAGCAAAGAATTTTGAATTTATGAGAGGAAATTCTCCCTTATGAATGAGGAAAGAGTGAAGCATCCTTATGACTGGAAAATCTCGTCTAGAGGTCAGTGAGCGACATATTCACCACCCACGGGACAAGGGGTCCCCTGGGACAGGTGCTGTGTGTGCGTGTGTTTGTGCACCTGCGCATATGTGCACAAAGGCCGACCCATCCTTGGAGCCCTATGATATTGACAACCAGGACCACCGGTCCTTCCCAACAACAACCAGTGCCTTCGCCTGGTGGTTCAAAAGATACCTGATGCTACTGAGAAAGAGGAAGAGACCCTCTTGGAGTCTTTTATAATGATCTGGAGAAAAGACAAATGAGGGAAATAGCTTCTATTTCTGTCTGGTATCAGTTATTAAAAGCCACATAAAAGTAGGCTTCTACCACATCAGATTTTCGTTAAGGTGTGTTAGGGTATCTCCGAGTAACAGGATGATATATAAAAGAGGAACATGTTGTGAGACATTAAACCTATTCATGTCCTTCCTCTTAAAAGTTTGGCCAAGAGATGAAATTAAGAAAAATGGCCCATATTACAACAGGCATGCCTCCCAGGTACCCCTCCTCACATACCACTCAGAGAGTGGATTGCCTCATTCTCCACCTTAGGGATGAGGAGTCTGGGTCTCAGACTAAGCTTGTGAGTGTGTGTGTGTGTGTGTGTGTGTGAAGTCAGGGGGGAGGTCTGAGTAAATGCAGGTTCTGGACTTTTCCAAAGAAAGCCCCCTTTCCATTCAACTACGAATTAAATAAATGGCCTAGGAAACATTTCAGTACAAAGAGTTTTTTTTATTGACATTGTAAGAAACATTGTTCCTTTTCTTTGTTATAAAAAGACTAAGTGGTTGTGAAAGCAGAAGTAAGAGTCCATCTGTTGGGGGGCTGCAGCCCCCGGCTTGAGGTGGGCGTGGGGGGCATCGCACAGGCTGCAGGCTGATCCGAGGAAGGCCCGGGGCCGGCCACGTCCAAACACTATGCCTACAATACTTAAATGTATTTACACATGTTTCTTTTAAAAAAAGGGTTACACATTTTATTTTTTAAAAAATCTAAAAAAGGTGAAAACAATGAACTTGTATTTTATCTTACACGTTTGCAGGATACACAACAGTAACTTGTCAGAAAAGAACATCCTCCGATGCATTCAAAACAACATGGGAAGTCAGGTTACGAGACAGCTCAGACTCTGCTACCATCAGGTCCTCTTGGCCTGAGGCAAGCACACAGCCTCAAGCCCTGACTGGGCAACACCAACTGGTCCCTCACTTCGACGACATTAACATAAAATAAGGCACATACATCGCAAGAATCAAAACTCTGTGGCTCAAGAGTGTGAGCCAATGTGTGAAGAGCAGGGGCAGTCTGATCAGTTCTTTAGAGAAGAAAACAAAATGGATTGAAAAGGAAAAACACGTTTAACACAGGTGCTAAACACAAGTACTGTGTACGAGCCCGCATTAAAAAGCAGGATATGAACCTAGTGAGTTGGTGTTATCTTCCCAAGTGCAAGGGACAAGAGAAGTGGGGGGAAGACTGGAGGCTGGGGATGGGTCCCATCACAGGAGATTCTAAGTGTACAGAAATCCATGTCCAGACAGAACAGTTGGAAGTGGCCCCAAAAGATCTTCTTCATTGACTATCACAACAGACCATCGCATTCAAAAGGACACTTTCCTCTCCCGCCTCTCCTCTCCTCCATCCTTCTGAGATTTTCATATCGAGAGAAGCCAAATACTGAGCTGAAAGGTGAGTGGGTCTCCTGCATATCTGAAGGCCAGAACAAGGAAGACAAAGTATAGAAAGAAAAAGATAGGGGGCAACCAGGAGAATCACCAGAAAGCAAAGGAAAAAGGAAGGGCACAAGGTGACAACCGTACTCATCTCAGCCTCCATCCATCCTTCCACGCACGGCGAAGGTGATTTGGGAAATACGGTAACTGAGAAATGCAGGGCACATCCAAGGACTCTAGTGCGGAAGGGCTCTCGGTGCAGGAGGAGGAAGACGGGAGTGGGGTTAAGCCACAAGAGCAGGTGAGCTCAGACCTTGGGACTTTGAGTTCACCTAGATACGAGATTCAGGGAACTGGACTGCCAATTTTGTGACCAGATCATGACCCGTTTGAAGAATACAGAAAAGGCCTCGATTTTTCCACTGAAGAGTGATAGAGACTCAACTCTCCTAGCTTAGATCACTACTTATCTTTTGATTTGGGGCTCTGTTCCAAAGTGGATGCTCCCTTTGATTTAAAAGAAGGTACAGCACGTGGGGAACAGCAGGAGGACCGCAACACCCCTCTGCTTTCATCTAGTTGAAAGCAAACCCAACCGTCTCAGCTGAAGTCCCAAAAGTCTAAAATTCAGAGGGGAATTTTACCCCACGTGAGATTCTTGGTCCAAATAAGAGAACATAAACCTGAGAAAAATGAGCTGGTCCCAATATTCTATTATCTCATACTTTTATTTGATTTTTGTCTACTACTAATTTAAATGGCAGAACTAAAGGGGAAAAAACACATAATGGACTCATGAATCACTTTGGATAAATCTAACTCCAAGATCAATGGGACAGAATACAACATGTCGACGGAGGTGTTGATGTTGTATTTTCATAGTTTACATAATTTTTAAAAGTAAAATGCTGGATAGTCCACATACCCTGTGCACACATGGTATGTCTTTTATGGGTAGCAATTGTACACATGGGGAGTAGCTGCACTTTTTAAGTCTTTAAACCTTTTCATCTGAAAGTCTAGCTTAAGTCCACATTAAGGACAAACTGCATAGAAGACTTAACTTCTTAAATGGGTGCATAATGTAATAGAGTGTTAAAAATGTATCCACACAGCTATGAAACTGCGCCCTTAGTGTTTTTAAATACTGAAAATGTTTGAAGCAATTTATTCCAAATATCTTGGTCTGTGAGCTTTTCTTTTACAACCAAATTTCATAAGTCCCCTAAAATAGGGCACTTAGACTAGAAATACTCTTTTGCTACAGTGGAATTAATATATTGTTGATGACATAGCCAGCTGTGGGATTAAGTACCTATATACTCAAAACTAGATATAATCAATTCTCAGTTATTCTGTTATCTATGAAAATGGGGCAAGAGATGGAACTAATCAACAAATATGCCAACCCACAAATATTTCCCAAATTGTATGCAATAGCTTTAATCTATAACATATCTCCCTTCTTACCAGAAGAGATGAAAGTAATAGTGTGTCTGAGCGTCACCCAGCACTCCTCCCTGGAACAGCACTGAACATTCATGGACAGACAGAGATGGGGAGGCAGGGTCCATAACCGAGAACTGACATATAGACGTACCCACCTTCCTGTCCACAGCACATGTATGGACAGGAAGAATTTTAAACCTCAACTGGGGACAAACAATTTCCTGCACAAGAGCCCTGAATTTCCACTTGTGTGCATCTGTCTGAAGCATGCCCCAAACTGAACGGGGATTGGGAGCTTCTCAAAAGCCTGTCACCTCTGCTACAGTACATCCACAAGAGATTCCCAAACTCACTCTCCAACTTCCGACTCCCGAGCCCAGCGTGGGGATTCAAAAAACAAAAGAAACAAGACACAAAAGCAAACACTGAGCATATGTAAAGGAAAACGGTAAAACGATGGACGCGTAACCCCTTAGTCACAAGAACACCAACTTCCTAGTTCCTTGGAATAACAGAGAGACACGTCAAATCCTTTCACTTGCCCTTTCTCTGAAAAGAAAGAATGCGCACATCACCATTTACACTGGTTTACTAAAAAAAGGGGGGAGGGGGGAGGGAGGAACAGGCTTACAGTTTTCTTTTTTTTTAAAAGAGGATGTTTTGAGTGTAACAATACTGATTCAAAACTGAAATGGAAGACAGTTTCTCCCTAGAATACTTTAGGGTTTTTCAGAGTCCTTTTCCATAAAAGGAATATACTTGAAACACATCCCAGTTAGGTGAGATGAGATCGCTAAAATACATACAGAACTAAAAAAACTCAGCCAAACAAAAAAGGGTCAATTTAATCTTTTAAACTCCTAAAGTTTCAGGTCTCTTGGCAGTCGTTTTTTTCCCCTAATGCTTACTGCATAACCGCAAGGAATTTGCTTTCTTCCGCGAGGGAGGTCAGCAGAGAGCTCATGTCCCCGATTGCCATGTTGGTGGTGCTCAAAGACAGAGGCGGGAACGGGAGGGCGGCTCGCGGCGTGGTGAGTCGGGAGGAGCTATGAGAAAGGTTTTGAATGATGCTTGGGCTCAGGGCTCCTGACATCAGGCTGGCATGATCCCCGTCGTCTATGATAGCGTCGAAATCAATCTGCACCCCTTCCAGGTCATGGCTGTCGAGGCTGTCAACCGTGCTTGTCACCTGGTTAGCACCTGGGGAGAGTAATTCAGAGTTTTCAGCGCCGGCCCCCTGGAGCAGGCAGTTGGCTTCCGACATGGAGAAGGAACCAGTTTTCATGTCTTGCTGACCGAAGCCAACGGTTTGGTCATAGAACTGACCAGAGTAACTCTGCACATTTGAACAGAGCTGATGGGGCTGTCCTGGCATCTCCATCTTGATGCCATTCACCCTGCAGGTCTGACTCGGGTCACTGAGCTGTCCCGGATGCAGAGCGAGACCACCCCTTGGCCCAGCCTGGCGCCGGCTGCCCCCGTAGCCAGCACATGGCTGGTAGCCCCTGACGGCTGCCACGCTTGGCGGCTGCACGCTGATGCTGGGAGGCCCGGGCAGGCTGCTCTCCGGCCCTTGATAAATGTGTGAGGTAGCGCTAGCCTGCCCCAGCAGGTTCTGCCCGGAGCGGCCTGCCCCCTGGGGGTGTGTGCTGTCACCGAGGAGCTGCTGCGCCAGGTACCCCTGCCCTGTGGGGTCTGGGGTGGGCATGCCATTCAGCGTGTTGCCTGCTGACTCATTCGGGGCCACCGACAGGCCAAAATCCAGATGGCTCCCGCTCCCTTGCATGGTGATGCTTCTCAGCTTTGCCGCCTGGATCCCGGGGCCACAGGCCCCATCGAGTAAGCTGGGGGCACCAGGCTGCCTGGCAAGGCAGTTCCCATACTGCTGGGCCTTATAGGGTGGTTCGTGGAAGGCATTCCCGTTGGTGCCAGCTCCGCCACCGTGGCTCAGTAAGTGTTCCGGGCCCCCGAAGGAGCTGGCATGCTCCCCGAGGGTCGGATACCCCCCAGCTGGGCCAGCCCCACTCCTCAGGGGATTTTGTGGGTGAACACCCATGTGGCTGTACGACCCGAAGGCCCGGGACTGCTGCCCCATGGACCGCTGGCCGCATTTCAGCTTGGAGGAGGACAGGTCGGCGCTGCCCGAGCTGACTTCATTCCACTGAATGGGCAGGTCAGATTTACTGGCATCGGGGCAGGGCTGCTCCAGCCCGCGGTACTGCTGGCTGCCGGTGTGGCTGGCATGGCTGTCGGGAAGCCCCAGTGGGTCAAAGTCCCCGGGTCCACTCCCCAAGCCGTGGGGCACTTTGCTGTCATCAGAGAAGGTGCCTGGGAAGTGCTGCTCATACCCGGCTGGGTTCTGGGAATTTAAATACTGCACCACGTCATCGGGCAGGAGGTCCTCATCGTTCAGGCTCACGTCGGCATCCATGGTCAGGGACTCCAGGGTGACATTCTCAGTGATGCTTGGGGGACAGGGAGAGGAGTGGAAGTGGCGGGCCTGGCCCCCATCGGGCCGCGTGTAGTTCTGAAGCACGAGGTTGCGCTTTTCCTGGGATGGAGGCAACACCGGAGGGTTGAAGCTGTTAAGGCTGTTGAACCGCTGCACCCGGGACAGAGAGAGGCTCTCAGATACCGTCCTCACCGGGTCGCTGGCTCTTCTCATGCTGTTGCCCAGCGCATCCTGGGGCAGCAGTGGGCGCCGGCTGTAACCATGGGCCCCGCCGTCGCTGCATCTGCGGGGAGGATGCACGGGAGGCAGGGTCCCCGTCGGCTCCCTGCCGTCTCCCAGCAGGGCCATCCGGGTCTTGAGGCTCATCCTCTCCATGTTGGGCAGCGGGGTGGGCGGGGGGCCACCTGTGGCGGCGGCGTACTTGGCTTTCAGGCGGTACTGCTGGGCGGGAGTGAGGCTGAGCAGGCTGGGCAGACCGTCGCCCTGGCTGGCCTCGCTGGACCTGCGAGAGGCGTCGGTGGAGATGGGGTCGTAAGAGTCGGCCACGCTCACGTTCTGGGGTCGCCCCTCAGCCTGGGACGCTTCGCTGGACCGGCGGCTGGAGAAGCACGGGGAGATGCCGGAGGAGCGGCGGCTGCTCAGGTAGGCGGAGCTGACGGTGCTGGTGCTGCTGTCCCTCCGGTTGAGCATGTTCAGCATGGTGATGTCTACCCCAGACAGGTCGCTTCTGTTCGGGAGGAGCGGCATGGGCCCGCCCAGACTGCAGCTGGTACTGGGCTGCGTGCCTGCAGAGACAGCGTGGGAGACACGGGTTCATCTCCGGATGACAACACAGGTGTCGGCAAACAGTGACTCTTTTTGGTTTCTGGGGCCAGGCAGTCTGGTCACCCCTGCCCTGAAGTGCCAAAGGGCCGGGGACGAAGTAAGGGGGTGGGTGAGCAGGTGGCAGGCTGCAGTGATGGATTCCCTGCCTTAAACACAGCAGAAACAACTCCCTGGATGAGTTAAGCTCCTTTGCAGGTATAGTGCAAGGGCAAAGTGAAGAACCACAGGATGTAGATACAGTGCTCAAGTTACAGGAAATCCAAGGGCAGAAGGCATTCTGAGGGTCTCATGCCCATTCTCAGGGCTTCCTCTGACATCCTATGCATGTGTAAGGCACCTGAGTTGGTGGGGGAGTACTTGGGCTCTGCTCCAGGTACTGAGTGTAATCTCAAAAACACAAAGCAACTAGGGGCTGACAGTGGCAGAAGTGGCTTCCCTGTCTCTGAATTGGGCCAACATTGATCAAAATGACTCTTTACCTGCTGGCTGTAGACTGTGGAAATCAGAGACAGGGGCTAACTCTGGATGCCTCTGCAGCTAAGATTTCCTTACTCTGATCTAATAGTGATGATTTCACCATCAAAATATGAGTCACGTAAAGTTTTACTTTTCATTCCAGTATTATCCTCTTGCTGTCTGCTTTTTTGGGTTGGCCAAAAAAGTTCATTGTGTTTTTTTTTCCCCCTGTATTATCTTACAGAAAAATTTGAACAAACTTTTTGGCTAACCCAATAAAATATGGGCTGTCTAGAAGCATCATTTTATGGCTGGTGGGGAGACAAGCAACCAGAAAACCCAAGGACCTGGGCCCGCTCAGTGCTCTGGCTGCCTCTGAAAGAACAGAAAACCCCAAGCAGACATGAGGTCTGGCTGGAACTCACCATTTCCTATGAGAGGAGAGACTGCAGGGGCTTTAGGGGGTAGAATGGGGTTCAGTCGTGGAAGCATTCCATTCACTTGTTTGAGCCTTTCTAGTTTGACGTGCTCCATCCATTTGGTCCCTGCTGGGTTCCTCCGGGCTTGCAAAGCGAGGGCTGTGGTTGCAGTGGAAATGGTCGAGTCCATGATTGGGGTTTCATCAATGGCACTGAGCTCGCCCACACCACCTCCATCGGTCAGAGGAAGCTCGAGCCCGCTGTTGGAATAGTTGCTGATGGGGGACTGTTGGCTGCTGCATGAAGACTGACCACCAGGGCTTGGCTGAGATGTCTGTGGGGTCAAGAAGAAAAGGAAATAAATGTTCCCGAGATGATCGAGGCCAGGGTGCAGACGATGAGCAATCACGCAGATCAAGTCCTGCGGGATTCTCAGTGGGTGGAATGAGAAGAACTATTTTCTAGTGCATGGAGGTGGCCTCCCTTGAGCTCAGTGATGATGGATGGGCCAGCAGGCAGATGTACCATGGAGGGCAATGGACAGCAGGGGGAGCCAGGTGTGATGTTGCAGCCATGGGATCCCTCCCCCGATGCCAACTCTGAGTCACATTTCCTCAGTTCCCACCCTACCTCCATGACTTTAGCCTTTGGGCAAATTACTTAGCCACTCTAAACCTCAGTTTCCTTATCCAGAATGTGGGGACAGTTTATTTACCCTAAGGATTGTTGTGGAAATTAGGAGTGAAGCCCTGAAAGCACACACAGTTCAAAAAGACCTGGGTAATAGGTAGTAATTAATTGGCTTGGAGAGTATTAGTGGTTATTAGTATAAATGCTTTAGTCCTCAGGATATATATGCCAGGAACACATGTTACTTCCCCTCCAACCAGTCCCTCTTTACGGTTCAGGGTTGGATCCCCAAGCTCTATAATCTCTGTCCATTCCTTCTACATTTTCTTGCTTTGTAAAACTCCAAGTAGGGGGATATATGTAAAAGCAGTTGTAAGAGGGAAGACTTAAGTCACTTAGTTTCTGCCATAGACAGAAAGGAGTCTCTGGAGAAGTCACGGGCATCTTCCAGTCCCCAATGTGCAACTAGCCTTGCACTAGGAGAATCAAGCCAGGTTTCTCTAACCCCAACCAAGTGGACTTGGCAAGCCAATTCTGTAACTCTTGGGAACTTAATCTAGTCCACTAGGTTCTCAGGGAAAGGCCCCCCTCCAGGGGCCCCTGACCATGGGGACAGCTCATTGTGTCTACGTTTGGGAGCACTCTGGCTTGCATTGAATGTTCCGCACAACCTGGACCTGGCCCATCTAAAATTCCAGTGGTGACCCGGTGGACAAACAGTTGAATCCTTTTCGTAGAGATAAGAAAAGTGATGTTCAGAGAAGTTCAGTGACTGCCCAAAGTTACAAAGTGAACAGTGTGATGACCTAGACTCCTGGCCTGGCCTCACTTCTGTTCCTCTGTAGCACTCACTCTGGTGTTACCTAGCAACTGGAGTCTGACAAGAGCCCATGAGCAAGGAGAGATAATTACACACACTCCGGCACACACGGCTATGGTCTCAGGTGGAACCACAGTGCTGTCAGAAGGGGCTCTGGGCACAGGTCATTTCCATGGAACCTGTCACACTTTTTCTGAGACCACAGTACACACACCCAAGGAAATGAACACTTTCTAAGTGAGCACCACATGGTACACTAGGTGTGTCCTGGGCAACCAAGCAGAGAAAAATAAGATGCACAAATGTGACCGTGAATGCATGAAGCCTGGCTTATTTTTGCTTCTGCAGAGTATTGAAGGGCCAGACCACCTGCTCCTTTGCAGAGAACTTAGATCATCCAGGGCTTTGAATGACTTTTCCTCTCAGGCTGTCAGATCAGTATGTGTGTGTGTGAATCTGTGTGTATGTATACACACTTTCCTGTAGAAGGATGCAGACTCATGTTTCCACAGGGCCTGGAAGAAGGCTCATGCATCTACAATTAGAAAATCCTTAAAGGACCCCAACAGTTCAATACAGGTTAGATTGCCAACAAGTATATCCAGTTCTTGCTCCAAGAAGGTGGTGCATGTCTGGTCTAAGAATAAATTTACACTAGTCAACATGACAGTTAAATGGTCTTTGAGAACATCTGCTTGGTCGGCCCCAGTGTGATTTATTATGGAATCCTAGACAAATAGAACAATGAATTTCAACATCTAACTCCACATTTTCACATGCTGAATGTTCAAAACACATTGCTTCTATGTTGGAAACATATCTGAGCAATGTTCACTACCAAAGATATCACAAAGGACAAAGATTAAAGAAAATGAAACAAACAGAGAGCTATATGTTAAAATGAAAACAAAACAAAGAGAGCAGAGAAGCCAAAATTCCCTCACCTTATTACCCACTGTCCTTAGGAAGTGAGAACAAGACATTTAGGAGCATTATACAGAAGAGATGTTGGAGTAATCAGAAAAAAAGAAGAAAGAATTTAATTTATAGCGTGATGAACAAATCAAAGACAAGTTGTTAAAGAAAGAATATTAGAAATGTAAATCTCACATGCTTCAGTAACTATGTCTATGAAGATACCTACTTATATTTACATGTGTGGGTACATATACATAAAAAAGTCTCCTGTGGAAATTTGATTAATTTATTAACCTCACTGAGCCTCTGTTTCCACACCTGTAAAATATGGGGCCTAGTCTCAATATCTGAGATCTCTTCCCAGCAGTTTGTTTCTATATCAATATATCTGTATCTCATAAAATATTGCACATCTTGGAGCATCTCAGATGTCACTGAGCAAAATCGCTGTCATTTTTATTTCTACCAATTTTCTTTTTAAATAATGAGTGTTTGGAGAAGTGATAAGTTTACTTTTTTTCCTTATTTTTTGCTAAGGATGTACATAAAAGGTACCAGGGACTCTGAGCTCACAGGATGTCCTACAAATATAAATCATTGTCTTTCAATGACATTATCTAGGAGACCAAAGATTCACTTTCTTTGTTTCAATAAACATTAAGGATAAACAGTTGAATCTTTTGCACAATTTTTATACAGGTGGACTTTATTTTAGGAAATTGATAAATATTCCTCCCCCAAAAGTATATAAAACACAGTTTATGAACTGATTAATTTAAATGTATAGGGATCAGTTATAACACATATATAAACTTCTTAGTAAGGTGTTTTTTAAAAGCAAAGTACAGCTATCCACAGGAAAATAATGATACATCTGGATAGCTTATTTGCATGATTTTTGGCTAGACCTAATGTCACTTGCTAAGACTCTTAAGAGTTTAAAGACAAACTCAGTTAGTCACTAAAATGCAATTAAGTCATAAGCATATTACTTCCTGCCCATACATACTGGCTACACATGACATCACTCAGGAATTTACAAGATGTCCATCCAATTCCTGGACTTTTCTAATTTTATGCAAATGATTCCTTAAACTGAGTAGAAATCTGCCTGTCTGATCATTCCCATGCATGTGGAAGTCTAAGCACGTGACTTATCTAGTACATTTCTTCCACATCCAAAGATTGGACAGACTAGAACCCAAAACACAGAGCTGACTCCATATAAATATGCCAAATATAGATGAACTAAATCTCCTCTGATTTCTACTCTTTTCATTTTGTCTTTGGGAAAATTTTAGCTGTTTTATTCTGGCCCATGCAAAAAATCACCAAGTGAAGTCTGAAAGAAGCTGCAGGAATAGCTTAATCCATGTGTCCTATTTGTCATCAAACTGTAAGATTTTTGTCAATGACAGTTTTCAAATCCCTCCCTTGCTTTCCACCTCCTTGTTTCAGGAATCATTTCTGATACCATTGCAAGTCTATCAACTAATCTCTAGATTGGCACGGGAGTTGTCTTTTCTAAAAATTCAGAAAAAATTTAAAAAATCCCTTCATATCTTCCCCTCTGTTCACTCCAGCACATTCTCCTGGGGCCCCATGACTCGTGTTTGGCTGTGCCAGGTCCTGGGCCCCTGCACACATTCCTTCCCCGCTCTGAGTATTGCACTTGGCGGCCCCCTGTCCGCTGCCCCTCCCATGGCATCGCCAAGTGCACCCTGTTAGCTCCGCTCTGCATGCTCACACCAGACTTGTCTTAGAGCCTTATCACCCAACCTTTCTTGATCTGCCTACCCACTGGACTGCAGACCCCTAAAGAACAGGGACCATGGCTTATTTCAGGTGGTGCTAGTAGTAAAGAAACTACCTACCAATGCAGAAGACATAAGAGACACAGGTTCGATCCCTGAGTCAGGAAGATCCCCTGGAGAAGGGCATGGCAACCCACTCCAGTATTCTTGCCTGGAGAATCCCGTGGACAGAGGAGCCTGGTGGGCTGCGGTCCACAGGGTCACAAAGAGATGGACACGGCTGATGCGACTCAGCACGCATGCATGGCTTATTTCTCTTGGGGTCACCAAGGCAAAGAAGTCAGAAAACATGTATACAGAGGGACCCAATGAATAATTTTCTATGTTAGAGGCCTCCTGCAAATGTGGTTAGTGGTGTGTGTCTATCTGCCACAACTTCCAGATCGATTTCAAAAAAGCAGTTAGGAAAGCTCAAACCTCTTTTCTGAGCTGGGGTAAGCAGTTGAGATCAATGAGTTCTGACCTCCTTAAATCAAACAGTGGGTTCCAGTGAGGACAGGGGTGATGTGATCCTCTCCTGACTCAGCACCCTACCTGGCCCCTTGAGAGACCTGGGACAATCAGAAGGAAAGCGAATGACATACCATGGGCTTCTCCGCCTTGACCGTTTTCACTTGGAGGCATTCTTCCCGCTTTGAGGTAGTGTTGCTGAGGTCCTTCTGCTCCCCGAGGGCTCCCTGAGTCTGCCGGCCAGGTGACCTAGACTGCGAGTGGCCGCCGGAATCTCGCGGGGGCGGGGGCCGGGGATGCACGTCCCCACGCTGCTTCTTCGTGACATGAGCCTCTGGGCCATGTACAGTCTTCACGTGTTTCCGGAGGGAGCTGGGGTCTGTGTAGCGCTTGGTGCAGCCGGGGATTTTGCACACATATGGTTTCTGTCAAATGCCCCACCAATGAAAGAATAGATTGTTATTAAAGTGATTATCCCTGGCCCAACAGTCTCTTATGGCTCTTCATTATATTTTTAATTCTTTCAAAGCATGATCACACGGTTTTGAGGTATTCAAAACCCTCTAAATGGTGCAGTGGTTTAATAAAGACTATTTGGACACAGTTTGGGGTCCATGGAGTCTAGCTTGAACACATTACTATTTTAGAGAGTGCTCAGGGAGAGCTTGAGAATCCTAGGTGGCACAGTGATAAAGAATCTGCCTATTAATACAGGCAATACAAGAGACATGGGTTTGATCCCTGGGTCAGGAAGATCCCCTGGAGTAGGAAATGGCAACCCACTCCAGCATTCTTGCCTGGAAAATTCCATGGACAGAGGAGCTTGGTGGGCTGCAATCCATGGGGTCGCAAAGAGTAGTACATAACTAAGTGTGTGTGTGCACTTGCGCACACACACACACATACACACACACACACACATGCACACACACGGAGAACTTAGAACATGTAAACTGTGTTTGTGCTCCTGGAAAAATTTATTCTGTGAGTAGGAAGTAGTGTCATGGTGTCACATGGTGTCCAAGATAATTTGATGATGCTGACGGTGGTGATGCTGACGGTGATGATAAAAGAAGAAGGCTTAAAAGACACCCAACCTTTCATGAGAAGAATGCTACACATCTTTGGGGAGAGCTTATGTGAAGACATTTCTTATGAATTCCTGTTTCCCAGGCTTAAAATCACTCTTCCACCTTTTAAAATGTGCTCTTTACACATAGACATAGTAAAAATAATAATAATAATAATTGCCTGGGATTTCCCTGGTAGTCCAGTGGCTAAGACTCTGTGCTTCCAGTGCAGGGGGCCCGGGTTCCATCTGTGGTCAGGGACCTAGAGCCCCATGTCTTTTCGGGGAACTAGAGACCACATGCCACAGGAAAGATTGAAGATCCCGCATGCTACAACTAAGATCCGGTGCAGACAAATAAATAATAACTGAATAAATATTTTTAAAAATTGCTGTAGCATCTCCTAGGTTAGATATCACTAAAATATGATCCCTTTGGTTGTATTACAACTGTGTGGGGGTGCTCAGGGCTCAGAATATCCAGAACCTTTCCGATCTTCAAAGTCCTAAGCCCTGTTGGAGTATCCACAAATGCTCACTCATAAACCGATGAGGGCTGATAGATGTCATTCTGGAGATGAGTATTTCTGGGTGAGGCTCTGCTCCTGAGTACTAAGGTCTAGCAATTACTTCATGCTAATTTCATTTTCTGTGTGGGTCAGTGGTCCAACCTATAGTCATCAAAAATTATACGGACACTTATAGTTGAATATTTACTCACATCACAGAACTGCTGGCATTATATTCATAACCAACATCAGAACTGTGATTCTGTTTACTTCATTTGAAATATAATATATTCATGGATGCTTATATGAGTCTATATTTACATCTGTATATATCAGGAGATGAGCTATTAGATAAACAATAGTCATGAAAGACATGATTAATATAATGTATCCATTGGATTAAAAAAAAGAGTCCCTGTCTTATAGAATGATGCTTTTCCACTAAAAGCCCAAGAACAGCCCAAGAACCGAGTGCTGCCTAAAATTATGGCATGCCCTAATGGAATGAGGTAAAGATTCCTGAATGCTGAGAGACCTCACCTCCAAATTTGAAATAATTTTGGGTCGAATTGATTCCCATTAACTACAAATTACTTCTCTTCAGGAGCTTGTGTGATTTGCAGCATATATATGTATAATGAAATGAGCACATCAAATTCTACGCATTAGGGACAGAAGAATGGCTCTGACGATTAGTGTTATTACTGTATAGTGTCTGACCTTGGCCCTGTGCTGGCTCACTGCACTGCTGTGACAGGCAGACAGCAATGTCTGGGGCGGGGAGAGGGAGCACAAAGCCAGGCCAGCATTCCAGGTTTGAACTGTTCTTCCCATAGATGTCTGCATGTGTGTATCATGGCTTAATCTGGAAATGAGGACATAGCTAGAGATGGAATGAATATACTAATATTTATCAGCTCCTGCATTTCCAGGACCAACAAGTACATGTGTGCCCATGTGCCCTTATATGTGCAGATAAACAATAGCCACCTACAAAAATCTCCAAGCACACAAGGTCAGGAAACAACACTTCACAACAAACACTACATGATGTAGATTGGCCCCCCAATTCTGTTCTGATTAATGACTGAAATGCAATCTAAGTGTAGGTAAAGATAAATGCTGTCAGGGTTCTAATTTACCCACATTTCCTGTCCTGGACGTTTAAATTTTGACACCATGATTGCCTTTTTGACTCCCTGAACTGAAAGATACTTTGTGAACACTTTCATTCTACTTGACTTTGTAGAATCTATCCAAATTAAATTTTAGATAAACATTTAATGATCCCTACTAGATACAAGACTCTGTAAGCACAGTTTTATATATGATAGGATTAAATCTCAAAGAATGGAAAATATGAAAAGTGTGGATGCTAAGAAGGATATGGACAGAGGGGAACCATTCTTTCATTGGGAAGATGGTGGAAGGCATCAGTCATCAAATTTCTGTATCTGGGTATAATGCCCAGCTTATGGGGTCAGGATATGAACTAAATCTGACTATGTATACATAGTGCTTACCATGATGTGATATGGGGCACATAGCAAGTGCTTGATAAACAGAGCTTTGATTAAAAAAGGTGTTGTAGTTGGGTCCTTAAAGATGAACAAGATGCTGAAGGATAAAAATGAGGGCAAGAGAATGCAAAAAAAAAAAAAAATATTCCAGAGTCCAGTAGTAGGACCACTCCAGGCATGTGGGCCTGCTGTCTGGAAGGTTGTGTTCATGTTCACCATGGTGAGAGGTCAAGGGATCGTGGAAAAGGAAGATTGGGGTTGAGCAGGTGAAAGCAGATATGGGGTTGGCCAAAAAGTTCAGAAAGTATCTTACAGAAAAATATTTTCTTGGCCAATCCAATACAGGCAGAAGACATCTAAACTTTTCCTAGAAAAGATGGAGCCTCTGGAACTTTCTGGATAGGGAGATACAACAAAATCAAAGCTCAAAGAAACTGGCTTCATCTGGTTTGGGATGGAACAGTAGCTCCATGTTCTGGAGTAGGGAGCCTGGTCAGAGGCCACTGTGATGGTTCAGTGGCCCTACATGGGCAGGATAGCCACAGAGGTGAGAGCTAGATTAGCTTCCCCAAATGGGAATTGCTTCCTATTCTGTTCCACGCCATCTGCCTCATCCAGCATAGCAATCTGCTAGCCAGATAACCATCTATTAATATTTGTTCAGAGAAAGGATGAATATACAAATAAGAGGACAAATAAATGAAATAAGACATCTGGATTTGTCTATGGTTGATTGATGATACAAATCTGCACTTCCTGGACACACTTAATTTTGATGTATCTGAAAGTGTCTATCATTCATAGGCAAAGCTGAAGGCTTTCCCTATTCATGGAACAGAGAAAAATGATTTACGTGATTGTAAATAAAATTTTACTTATGTGTTTATGCTCAATGTTAATCATTTGTTTTAGGTAAATCGCTCCATTTTGGTGAAAGATATTGTTGACCAAGATACAATTTAACCTCATGATGGATATTCAACTCTCATACAACACTGCACTTTCTAATGCACAGAAGAATTCAAGCTCCACTATAATGCATTTCATTAAAGCAAACAGATGTGGGCACACATTTGAAGCTCATAAAAAGATAAAAACTCAGTAAGCATATTTATATCTATTCATTGCTGAAGTTCTAACATTCTCAGTGCTCAACTGGCTCCACAATAACAGAAGAGAATCGATAGGAATGTATGCCTTCTACGTTTCTGGTCATAATTGTACCTAAGTGTATGAAATATAAATAGATTAATTAAATTCTAGGTTAAGTTAATCAAATCCCCTAAAACATTTTAAATTGAGATATTTGGCTGGCCAGAAATTTGTATGGAAAGTGCATATGGAAAAACCCAAATGAACATTTTGGCTAACCCACCATAATTCACATACTATAAAGAAAACCCTTTTAAATGGCACAGTCCAGTGGCATTTAGCACATTCACAATCTTGTGCAATCGTTACAACTATCACGTTCCAGAATATTTTTAGCATCCCAAGAAGAAACCCTGTACCTATTTTCAGTCACCCTATTCCTCCTCCCCACGGCTTGTGGCAGCTACCAATCTTTCTGTCTCCATGGATCTGCCTATTTCAGATCCCCTAAAACTTTGTACAAAACAAGTACATTGGATTACAATTTATGGCTCAGCTGGTAAAGAATCCACCTGTGATGCGAGAGACCTAGGTTCAATCCCTGGGTTCGGAAGATCCCCTGGAGAAGGGAAGGGCTACCCACTCCAGTATTCTGGCCTGGAGAATTTGATGGACTGTATAGTCCATGGGGTCGCAAAGAGTTGGACACGACTGAGCGACTTTCACTTTCACCACCAATCATAAAAGCACTTTTGACATAAATTTAAAAAATGGAAATGCAGCATCTTGTCTAAAACATCTAAAAACAGTGGATCAATATTATAGATCCCAAAGGACTCAGGTTTCTTTATTCCACTAGGATCTGTATAGGTGAACTCATGTGTGTGAGTTTATGTGCTAGAGTGCTTTTGTAGAGTGTGGCGAAACCCCTTTGAGATCTTTGTCAGTTCAGCTGGAAGGAAACTTGGCGAGGGCCATCTCTTCCACCTTCAAGCCAGTGGCCAGTGAGCTGAATGGTGCACTTTTATAAATTCCCTCTTCCAGCTCTTTGGAAGATCATGAAGGGCCTGACTGGCACCTTGTGAGATGAGAGTCACACCGAGGTCAAAATGTTCTCTCTGTCACACGATTTCAAGCAAACGGATGACCCACTCTGTGGGGCAGAATTACATCTCGTGAGCAAATTCTGGTTAGCTACACTATTTCCACCACAGATGTGGGAAGCCTTTGTGTTAATCTCTGAATTCATTCAAGAGAAGGTTTCACAGAGAGAGGCAGACTCTGAGCTAGACCTTCAAGTAGAAGCTGGAGATCTGCAGGCAAAAGTGAGTTAAAATGTAAGCAGAGTGAATTAGAAACCATTTTCATTTATTCTTACTCTTCTCTGAAATGTGTGTGGGATAAATACCTCAAACTAACAACAACACGACAGGAACCCCCTGAAGCTTTACTCAATATATTATCTTAAATAATTGACTAGAACCCATTCTGGATTTCTGAGAATAAGCTTCCAAGACCCTTTGGAATTTAGACTGTCTGGAAATGCTATTTAGTCAAGTCAGGTTGCTCTGCAGAAGTCTTTTTTGATATAATGCATTTGAAGATACCACCTGGAGAAAGCAAATAAAAGTGGCTGTCTTAGCAGTAAGCTGTCAGCTGTCAACACCTCTCTTCTCAGTCTCTCCTTAGTGCTTACGGGGTCATCGTCCTTCAAATGCATTCCTGCTATTCCAGGCAGAGCGAGTGGGTGGAATTCCAAGCTAAATGCTCCTACTGTTTGACCAGTAGGTGGCAGTACTGAACAACAGGAAACTTGTTCCCCCTTCCTCAGCTTGTCTCTCCCATCCAAGACCAGGTTTCAGCCCTTCCTCTGAGGCCCCCCAAGCCTTCACCTGCAGCATTAACATCCACTCATGCTGGGAGTGGCCAGAGGAAACTACAATGGAACAGGCTCACGTCTCCAAGTATATTCCTCAGAGGATTCTTTATTTCCACCCCCTGAGCTCTGGACCCAACAGGCGTCTCCCGTCTCCCGGAGGAGCCTTACCTCATTGGAATGTGTTCTGTTCTGGTGCTTGGCGCGATCGGAGGCATTAGAGAAAGCCTTGTTGCATCCTTCGTGCTCACAGACGTACGGTTTCTCTCCAGTGTGAGATCTCAAGTGTGTTTTCAAGTTTTCGAGTCTCGAGTAGGCCTTTGTGCAACCTTCAAACTGAGGACAACAGGTAAATCTGGATGACCCCACACAATGACAACTTCTGCCTCTCACTTGCTCCAAGTGAATGAAAGACGGACATTTGGAGGGTCGGCAGCTTTTCAAAACCAAGGAACAAAAGTCCACTAAACTCTGCCTTTATTGGGATTCAGATGGTGGGCTCATGGCAATTCGAGAGAAAGCATTTTCAGTGCTAGTAAAAATCCCAGGACTTTTTTTTTTTTTTTAATAGGCCACTCAATGTGGACAATGGGTTTCATTATCTGCTCAGGGATCTCCTTGAATTCCCACTGATTTCAGATTCAGCACAAAGTTCATTAATATGGCTTTGTGTCCCTACAAAGACACGGTATTTGATCCTGTTTGTAAAGGCCCTTTAAGATGTAAAGTACCAAGGCTCAGGCCTGAGTGTGCCTGGCGGGCACCTTAGTGAAAGAAAGCTTAGCCTCCTGCTCTTAGGTCTGTATTGGGCCACGGTGACAGACTGGGGGGCAGGGGGGTGCTGGGGGGGGAGGGCCGAGGAAAAACTCTAAAGCCATACAGGTTATATTTTTGAAAGGTCAACTGAAGTTTTTCAAGTTGAACCTGGCCTTTCCCTATGCCCTCCACGGCTCTGGTGTGACAGACCCTGGTGTGAGGGCAAGCCCAGTGGCCCCGCGTTCATTCCCAGTGCTACATGTCTGGTCCCTGCTGAGACCTGCCCACCGGCCACTCTGCAGAGCTGGGCTGACTCAGTTTCCGTTAGCCAAGTGTTTCATTAAATAAAAATTGAAAAAAATCAGCTTCTTGACTGCCCAGTCACATCTCCAAAGCACGTGGTCTTGAGGCCACCATGTTGGACAGGGAGGGTCTAGGACACTTCCTTGCAATATCTCTCAGAGCTCACCTCTCAGCGTTCTTCCTCTAATTCTTCCCTCCTCACCCCTCTCCCAGCCCCAGGAGTTTACCACAAACAGCGCTCCAACCCTCTTCTCCCACCACTCATCAGCTGGCACGGTTCTGGTTCTTGGAGTAAGAGGAAGGACTCACGGGTGCAAGACACCCTCTCAGTGGACATCCCGCCCACCCCACAGCCAGGACTCACAGTGCATTTGTGAGGCTTCTCCCCCGTATGCCTGCGCATGTGCACCACCAACATATACTGGGCTTTGAAGGGCTTCTGTTCTCTCGAGCAGTCTAGCCACCGGCACACAAATTCCTTCTTCTCTCCATGGATGTGGTCATTATTTATATGCTGGGTTTGGGGGAAAAAAAAAAGAGAGAAATCAAATGGAAATGTACAACTCTTTTCTGCAGGCAATATAACAGAGGGCCCCAAACCCCCTAACCTTAAATCTGAAAGGCTCCACGGTACCTTTCCCATATGGCAGACAATTCTGTTCTGGTTAGTACATTTCTTCAGTCAATTTGCTCTTACCAACTGTGGACACTTTTTTTAACTAGCAGGAGTGATAGGATTTGGAAGAAGCTTTGGAGTCCTGAAAAAGGTACTGCAAGGGCAACGGAAGACAGGAGTTGTGAAATGGGGTGAGATACACATGTCCTCTCTGGGCCTCTGCTATCTTTCACTTGCCAAGTTGGGATCAAGGTGGGGTGACCACAGAGGGGACCTCCAGCTCTCACCCCCTTCAGGCCTTGGGTAGCACCTGGGCTAGTGATGTGGCTCAAGACTGCAGGATGGGTGCGCGCGCGCACACACACATCCCCCCCCACACACATGTATGTAACAAGAACTGGGGAAAACCAAAGCACTTTTTCAAATGGCACTTCAGTTCCAATTAGTGAGATCATTCTTTTGATAAGAATCACAGAGAGATGAACTTGACTCTGAAAATAAAGGCCAGATGATCGGTCAACAAAATGCTTAGTCTCTGAGGGTCTGTACCATCCTGCACAAAATAAAGGAATGAATCCCCTAGTTTCTACGGTTCTTTCCAGCTGTAGAACTCTGTGAATTTGGTATTAAAAATGAAGTTGAATGTCCCTGAAATTTCTCTGAATTCTGATTCAAAGTTTTAGAACCCCATTGTATATTAATAGAGTTCCTTGGATTCATACATCAAATGTCCTACAACTGGGAGACAGGTGCAACCTACAGACACACCAAAAGAGGTGGTTCTTAATTTGGATCAAACTTATGTCTGCTCCAGGAAGTTAATGTTCAGTCACAGATGATGGGGGAGATTTGTGCCCTAGGTTGATCCTCTCGGTTTATTCTCTGGTTGCCCATCCCTCATCTGCCTTAATTCAAGGCATTTGTGAACCCTTGCCCACACATACACAGAAACACCACCAAAAAATTTGTGCAGTGAAAGAAACCTCCCCTGGGTTTCTTGGGCCACATAGCAGTGACACGACATTTAATTACTTTCCTGATGAGGTTCTGGGTCCTAACTGAGTGGTCTCTGGGGACCTAGGGGTAAAATTCCACCATCACTCAGCCTTGCCCAGTTACTCCACTAGGCGGCCGGCTACTGTAAGGAAAAAAAAAAAGAAAGAAAAGAAAGCAGTCTGTTGTGTTGTGTTTGTAGTTTAAAACTGGATGAAGGCAGAGAAAAGCCATCATGGTGTACTCTCCTAGAACAGCTCTCAGGAAGTTGGAGAGACAGGAGGGAGCAGGTGACATGGCCCAGGGTGCAGGCAGACAACCAAGATCCTTTCAAAAGCTCTGTACATAAAGAAGAACCCATACAGGATCACTCCAGTTCATCACGGCATCGCAACCCCCTGATAGACAGTTGTATGTTTTCTGGAAAAAGCTAACTGTCCTCAGTAGGAGAGTTTCTTAAAAGTGATGCTGGGAACAAGTTCACCTGTATCATTTTTCTAGATTCCATACATAAGTGATATTATACAACAGTTTTTTCTTTTTGACTTCACTCTGGATGGGAGCCTAGAGACACAGACGTAGAGAACGCATACATGGACACCAAGGGGGACAGGGGATGGGATGAACTGGGAGACTGGGACTGACATGTATACACTATTATACATGAAATAGATAACGAATGAGAAGTTCCCTGTAGCACAGGGAACTCTAGCTCTGTGGTGACCTAAATGAGAAGGGAATCCAAAAACGAGGGGATGCATATGTACACATATATGTGTGTATACGTATATATACTTGGGCTTCCCTGGTGGTTCAGCTGGTAAAGAATCCGCCTGCAATGCGGGAGACCTGGGTTTGATTCCTGGGTGGGGAAGATCCCCTGGAGAAGGGAACGGCTACTCACTCCAGTATTCTGGCCTGGAGAATTCCATGGACTGTATAGCCCACAGGGTGGCAAAGAGCCAGACACGACTGAATGACTTTCACTTTCTTTTCACTTTCATATACTTACGTGGCTTCCTAGGTGGCACTAGTGGTAAAGAACCCACCTACCATTGCACGAGACGTAAGAGACTCAGGTTCAGTCTCTGTGTTGGGAAGATCCCCTGGAGGAGGGCATGGCAACCCGCTCCAGTATTCTTGCCCGGAGAATCTCATGGACAGAGAAGCCTGGCAGGCTATAGTCCGTAGGCTTTCACAGAGTTGGAAATGACTGAAGCAACGTAGCACGCATGCATACTCACAGCTGATTCACTTTGTACAGAAGAGGCTAACACAACATTGTAAAGCAACTTTACTCTAATAATATATATTTTTTAAAGTGATACAGGGGCACATACATGGATGAAGAGAACAGATGTGTCGCCCAGGGGACAACATGCCATCTTTAAATGTATGCTTCAAGAACATGTCTGTGGTTCTCTCACTGTCCCAGATATGTACAGAAGCCCAATCATTAAGCCCACATGATACAGAGGTGTTATACGAAGTCTCCTTTCTAGGGAAAACAATTAATGGTCACACAAATCCCCTCCATAAAGATTGCTCTTGGTTCAGCTATCTTCCACGTTATTAGACATTAAGCTCCTTGGATGAAGACATGAAAGAAAAAGAAGGAAGGATGAGAGGGAGGAAAGAAAGAAAGAAAGGAGGGCAGAAAGAGACAGGGAAAGTTAAAACTGGAATATGACCTGAGAATTTGGGTTTAGTTTAACTGCTTGAGTCAGGACCCACATCTTTTGGTTTTGTATTCTCAGCCACTGAGAGGTGGCCCTGGTACTTGGCAAGTCCTCCATGAATATCTGTTGGTTTGATTGTCTTAGGTGAGACACTGAACTTTCTCTGGAGCAAAGAATTTATATTTGATGCTTTTGCCTGACTTAGTTCAACTGCATTTTACCCAGTATCCAGACAGTAAGATTTTAATGTAGATGCTATATTACTTTAAAATAATATAGTATCGAGAATTCAAAAGAACTTGAATGATTGGAATGATATCCAAATGTGAACCCCATCTTGCCAGAGGGAATAAAAGAAACACTCAGTGATCACAACATTTCATCTATCCCCACATATTGACATGTATGTGCTGAGTACTGCTGCACATCAGGTCCTGTGCTGTGGACTCAGACAGACCCGAGTCTTTTCCTGAGGAAATTACAGTCTGCTGGAGGGACACGGATAATGGCTTAAATGACTGTACAATTATAGTCATGATCAGTGTTAGGAAGGGAAATAAGAGGGTTTTAGAAAAACAATTAACAGAGGGTCCCAAATCTGTGGGGAGCACAAAAGACCAGGGTCAGCTTCTCCAGGGAGTGGCATTTAAAGTGGGACTGAAGGATGAGTGGAGACCTGGTGGGCGTGCAGGTGAGGATGGGGGAGGGGAAAAAGATGGACAGAAGCCCCCAGAGCAGGTCAGATCTTGGTGCATCAAGGAACCGGGAGAGGAACATGTAGGTAGGAGGGATGCACCAGGCAGACATGGGAGCAGTCCAGCATTGCCTCTGCTGGGTGTAGCAGGAAGGCATGCGCTTCCAGGGGCCCAGTGGAGACCCGTGAGGTAGCCAAGCGTGGGTCCACCTAAAATGCAGCACATTGGGTCAGATGTCCAGGAAGGAGGCTGTCAGATAGACCGCTGCATGGAACTCACGTGCACCCACCAGGACGCCTGCCCCAAGTGGCCTGGCATTACTCACATGAGATGACCAACAGGGAAGCTGCCACCTGAGGCTAATAAAGCCTCCTGTCTTCCCCATCAGGCTGGAGCAGCCAAACTCTGGGTGGAGAGGAAAGAGGTGCCCTCCTTCAGGTGGGTGAGGTGGGAGAAAAACAAACAGCCTGCCAGCCCCCTTGAACTGGGAGCTTGGCCCGTGCAGGGAAAGAAGGCTGTGATTCGACAGGAGGCTGTAAGTTTAAACTGGCTGACACCTCAGGAACCGAAAGTGTAGAAGCTGCTGACCAGGGAGTTAAGGGGTCTGCCATAGAGCTGGGATGGGGGCGCTGACAACGGGCTGATGAGAGCGGTGCCTGGAAAATGCAAACCATCTCACACTAATACCTGGCCAAGTCGCATCAGCCTTGACCTCTGGACAATGTCTGAAAAATCCCAGTGGTGGGAATCCACTGCCCATCAGTAACTACAATACCCAGTCTTCTCTCTTCTGGGGAGGAACAGAGGAGAAGCTCCTTGGGACCGTGGAAGCAACCTCATGTTCAAAAAGGTTAGCATCTTGGGAATTTTCCCCTTCTGCCCCATAGAGTAGACCTAAGTCCTGTCTAACATGCTTCTGTTTTTTTCCGAAACTGCTTGAGTGCCAACCTGGATTGAGACCACAAGTTATTATTGGAATGAGATTCTCTGACCTCGGCTGGCAGAGACCAGGTCAGTCTTGTTTGTCTTTAAGGGTTCAAATACTGAGCACAGGACATAATCAATTACTTCAAAGAAACACAGAAATCTTTCTGCTTATTTAGGTTATTTATTTATGCTTTAATTTTTATTTTATATTGGGTTGATTAACAGTATTGTGTTAGTTTCAGGTGAAAGCAAAGTGATTCAGTGATACATATACATGAATCTATTCTTTTTCAAACCTTTTTCTACTTAGGTTATTATAGAATATTGAGCAGAGTTCCCTGTGCTATATACTAGGTCCCTGTGTATGTCACTTTGGATCTTTGAGCTTAAAACACTTTCTGAAGCTAGACTTCAGGTGAAACTTAAAATTCCAAGAAATCATAGACTTTATGTGTCCAAGTGTCCTAAATCTTTACTCTGCTAAAAAAAACCGCCTTGGCCTCTGCAGTGGGCACTCATGCCACATGAGCCTGGGAATGGGGCCGGGCGGTGGGTGGGTGAGGCAGTGCATTGGAAGATGCCCCCAGACTAAGTTCGAATGAGC